AAATTAGTAGACCAGAAAAATACTGTGGACATAATATACTTAGATTTCAGCAAGGCATTTGACAAGTAGACTACAACCTACTATGGTAAGCTAGAAAAAAGTGGGATATATAGCACCACCACCAGATGGATTCGCAACAGACTAACAAACGAGTAGTCCTTAATGGGTCTAAGTCTATATGGAGGGAAGTAAGCAGTGGGGTGCCATCTTAGGCCCAGGACTCTTCAATATCTTCATTAACAACATAGATGAGGGAATAGAAGGGGAACTTACCAAATTTGTGGATGATACCAAACTGGCAGGAATGGCTAACTCCCTAGAAGATAGGCTCAAGATCCAGATGGATCTTGACAGACTAGAACACTGGGCCATATTTAACAAAATGAAATTCAATGTAGAGAAAACTAAAGTCCTACACTTAGGCAAGAAAAACCAAGAGTACACATATAGACTGGGTGAAACCAAGCTTAATAGCAGTAACTGTGAGAGGGATCTTGGAGTCTTAGTGGACAAGCAGCTAAATATGAGCCAGCAGTGTGCAGCTGCCGCCAATAAAGCTAATGCAATCCTAAATTGCATTAACAGAGGGATGCAATCAAGATAAAGTGAGGTACTAATACTAATACTATAAAGCCTTAGTAAGACCAGACCTAGAGTACTGCATCCAGTTTTGGTCATCACACTATAAAAAAGCTGTTGAGATTCTAGAAAAAGTACAGAGAAGAGCAACCAGGTTGATTAGGGGACTGGAGAATAAAATAGATGAAGAATGGTTACTGGAACTGGGCTTGGCTAGTCTAGTGAAGGACCAGGGGAGACATAATAGCAGTCTTCCAATATCTCAGGGGCTGCCACAAAGAAGAGGCTGTCAAGCTATTTTCTAAAACACCTGAAGGCCAGACAAGGAATAATGGATGGAAACTGAACAAGGAGAGATTTAACCTGGAAATAAGGAGAAACTTTCTGACAGAACAATTAACCTATAGAACAGCTTGCCCTCAGAAGTTGTGTGAGCACCATCACTTGAGACTTTCAAGAAGATCCCACCCCTGAAAGGACCTAATGGTAAAGACTGCAATGATGACACCATTAAAGCCAACATCTTTAACACATTCTTTGGCTCAGTATTTGTAAACAGCAATGGATCATGCCCAATATTTCCTAGTCGAACCACTGACAACTACAATGATCTAATACATATCGATTTTACAGAAGACAATGTTGAAAAAGCACTAGCAATCGAAAACCATCTCTATCTATTGGACCGGACGGAATATGTGCCTACTTCTTTAAAAAGCTATCCACTGCCATAGTCGAACCTCTAAGCATAATCTTTGAAAAATCTTTCTGGACCAGCTCCTTGCCAAACCTATGGTCACAAGCCACGGTCATCCCCATCTTCAAAAAGGGAGACCCCAGCCTAGTTGAAAATTGCAGACCAATCTCTTTATGCTGCATTGTCTGTAAAGTCATAGAATCAATTATTAACCGATCTATTATCCTCCGCTTAGAGACAAACAACCTACTCTCTAAAAAACAATTTGGTTTCAGGCAAAAACTATCATGTAATCTGCAACTCTTACACTGCAAAAACATATGGACTACACAACTCGATCAGGGCAAAGCAATAGAAACAATCTACATAGACTACTGTAAACCCTTTGATTCAGTGGTACACGATAAACTACTCCTAAAACTAAAATCTTATGGTATCTCTGGACACCTGCATTACTGGATAGAAGAATTCCTGTCAAACAGACAACAAATGGTCAAAATTGGGAGCGTCCTATCAAATTCTGTACCTGTCCACAATGGGGTCCCCCAAGGCAGTGTTCTAGGACCAACTCTCTTCATACTCTACATAAATGACCTCTGTGATCATATTAAGAGCAACTGCATTCTCTTCGCTGATGATGTAAAGCTATTCAACACCACCAACAATACTGCTACCCTTCCAAAAGACCTCGACTATGTATCAGAATGGTCAAACAAATGGCAACTTCAAATCTCAAAAAATAAATGCTCTGTCTTACATATTGGCAAAAGAAATCAGAAAATAAAATACAAGCTGAATAGTCAAGACCTTGTTGATGATCCAAACTCTGTCAAGGACCTTGGAGTACTCATCTCTAATGATCTAAGTGCTAGAGCCCATTGTAACTACATAGCCAAAAAGGCATTAAGAGTTGTAAACCTAATTCTGCGTAGCTTTTTCTCTGGTAATATCACTCTACTAACTAGAGCATACAAAACTTTTGCTAGACTAATACTTGAATACAAGCTCATCAGTCTGGAACCCGCATTACGTATCTGAAATTAATAAATTGGAGAAAGTCCAGAAATATTTCACAAGAAGAGTTCTCCACTCCTCTACTCATTGTAGAATACCTTATGCCACCAGACTTGAAACTCTAGACCTAGAAAACCTAGAACTACGACGCCTTCGGTCTGATCTAAGTATAGTACATAAAATTATACATTGCAATGTCTTACCTGTCAATGAATACTTCAGCTTCAACCATAACAACACAAGAGCACACAATAGATACAAACTCAAGGTAAACTGCACCAAACTTGATTGCAGGAAATATGACTTCAGCAACAGAGTGGTCAATGTTTGGAATACTCTATCTGACTCTGTGGTTTCTTCCCCAAACCCCAAAAACTTTAACCTTAGACTACTATTGACCTCACCACTTTCCTAAGAGGTCTGTATGGGTCGTGCATAAGCACACCAACGTGCCTACCATCCCTGTCCTATTGTTTCTTTTTATTTTTCTTATATGTATTCATTTCATGTATTCACAACTATGTTTATACTTATACCTGTTATCTTATAATTGCTTGACAAAATAAATAAATAAAAATAAAATAAATAAGAGATTGGACTCCCATCTGTCAGAAATGGTGAGGGTCTCCTGCTTGGGCGGGAGGTTGGACTAGATGACCTACAACGTCCCTTCCAACTCTGATTATCTGTTATTTGTATAGAAGGCAACTAAACTCAAGTTTTTCAAGATTACTCTCCTAGAATGCTAAGAAAAAAGGAAAATACTTGTCCTTTTCATAAAGACTCAAGCAAATCAAACAGAGATGGAAAATTCTGTTTGTTATGAAAGTCTTCTTGGAAATTAAAAATCAGAATGATTAAACAGGCCTTTTATATGTAAAAGTAACTTCACTGGACTCATGGAACTTCCTAGTACTAAGAAGGGTGCTAGAGATGAAAAAGGGAAACCTGGTATAGCTACAGTATTAAAATAAAACAAAAATGGACAAAACAGCATTGATCTCACTGTGCATATGAACTTAACTTGCCTCATAAACAAAAGCAATATTTAGGAAAACATTCAAAGCCAATTTTGCTTGTCTACAAAAACATAAAACAAAACCATGTTAATTTATTGAAACTAGACCAGGAATATATAGCATTGGAAAAGATGAAAAAAATGGAATAGCAGATTTAAGATTTATCTTAAATCACCTTCTGGGGAAGTAACAGAACAAGACAAAGGAGGAATTTCAATCCTGACATTTAGAAAAAATATAAGATTTTAACGCTGGCATCCATTTAAGCTACAAATAAAAGTATGGACAATTGTATTAACAGTACTCCAAAATGTTAATAGAAATTGCAGAGGAAATAATTATCACAGGAGGCATAAATGGAGTGCCAGACCCATGGTTTTGTTCAATACTTGAGATTAAAGAACTCAAAAGCTGGGAACTATACATTTTTCTCAGGAGGACACCAAACATACCCAAGAAGTGATATGCTCTGGACCTCCAAGGCCATTGAGTGGAAGAGATGCAGATTTGCTTTAAGACATAGGCAAACCATGCCCTAATTCTCATATCTTTCTTTCAGGTATTAGAAGAATTTTCTTGATCTTATTTTATTCATTCAGTACAATGATTAACAGTAGTCCACATTGTTAGTGGTCTACTAGTAGAGATATACTGTGCATATAATGACATGCAGGCTTTGATGTTTAGATATTCAGATTGAGGTGTTCCTGACATGTTTGACCCTGGGGTCATGTGAAAGGAAGATCCTTGTCAACGTTGCAACTGACAAACCCAACCAAAGCAAGCACGATCAAGACCTTCCAATCTCTGAATGCAAAACTCTATTGATCTCTGAATGCAAAACTCATTTCAGCACTGATGAAGTCAAAGCCAGCTCTACCTAATTTCCGCATAAACCCACATAATACAGGATAGATTTCTCCCTCCCCCGTATTATTACAAATCAATTGTCCAATTTAATGTCATTGTATTGTTATGAGAAAAAGTCTCTGGCCTTGGCAAACACCTGACCGAGTATCCTTGGCTCTCACAGCTTGTCTTGTTGAAGTCTGGAGCCTGCTTTCCATCTCTCCCTCCCCTCCCCTCTGGTCCTTTGGCAAGTTGAGAAGCGATAATGGTTGCAACAGCATAAGCGCGCTTTGAGCTTGACAATCCTACTTTTGTGTGGATTACTATGAGGAGATGTGGCGTCTTCTTGAGGAGATACTTTGATAGAGCCAGCTAAGTATATGTTGGTTCTGAGGCTTCAGCAGTTCAGAGGGTTGCTAGAGGGGAGTGGGGCAAATTAAAATATTTTCTATGCCTCCCCATTTCTTAAACACTTCATTAATTTTTAAATTGAAGAGAAGCTTCCCAGCTAAGTAATTGTGTGTAGCAAAAATCTGAAAACTCTATGTTCATCAGTTCAACAGTTCATTTGAAGGGGAAATTAGAGTCAGATGTTGTAATCCATAGGGTCCTAATTAGATGTGAGTGTGTGGGTCCTTCTTTAAAGCACAAAAATATGCATCAATAATAGAGTGATGTGGAAGCAGGTCATGGCTGCAATAGGCTGCAATCTCCTCCTTTCAGAGGAGATTTGGTTTATCAATAAAAAATTAATACTTTTCCTGCCTGTTCAACAAGGAAGAAAACTTTTCTTGCGCTCCTCCTGCTAGCCTTGTTCCTCCCCTCCCTACTTTTTTTCCAAGGCACAGAGGGGCAGCCAGCCCTTGCTCTTGGCACCCGGCTGAGCACTGAGGCTTTGGCCAAGCACACCTCGAATGGCAGCCAGCAGAGCTCCGAGTCCAAGACAGGGCCCCTCTCTATTGTCTCCCGGGGCTACCGAGGAAGCACCGCCACGGCCAAAGGCAAGCTGGAAAGCCACCTGTCTCTGAAACAGCAGCAGCAGCAGCAGCAGCAGCAGCAGCAGCAGCAGCAGCAGCAGCAGCAGCCAGATCAGCCTGGATCCCAGGTGAAAATCCATCAAGCTCAGTCCCATGGACAGGTAGTCCTCACTTACTGACTATAATTGGACCAACAATTCCATCAAGAACTGGCACGGTCGTTAAATAAATTGTTGGGGGCTTTTTGACATCCTGTGACTGTGTCTTAACCTTGCCAGCATCTCCACTGACTTCACTTCTCCGAGGCACTGTTGGAAATGAGGGCCGTTTGCCATATGTCCAAAGCACAAGCAAGGGAATGCAGATACGCTGCACCTGCAACAAGTTTGAAGCCTGGTCGTAAATCTCCTTCAGCCCATTGTAACTTCAAATGGTTGCTGAATGAGTAGTCAGTAAGCAAGGACCACCTGTATGACAGTTCACCGAGTAGTAGAATGCCAGCTTTCAATTAAAACTGCATCTCCCCCCCCCCCCCCCCCCACATTTGAAATGGATAGTCAGGTCAGCCGTGCTTAAGGATTAAAATGCTGGTTGACAGTCTGAATGACATCTAAATACCAACAATTAGTTTGTAGCAGTTTTCTTTAATTCTTCTATGAAGTGATTGGATCATTTCCTGGTTTAGTCTTCTTTCTAAATTCCTTTCTGACTTGTCTGGGACTCCTTGCTATATCTGACATATAATGTCTGCCAGTGAGAGGTACTTTACATTCCTTTCCATCTGTCCCTTGGTTTCCTCTAGCATACCACCTAAGAAAACTTTTGAAAAACTTCAAAGTCTTCCAGTAAAATCATCAAGTCTGGTCATCCTTGTTCTTTGCGGATGCCTCTTAATTTAGCTTTTCTTATTTCAGAATTTAATTTCTCAATTCTACATTTAGATTTGATAGGCAATCATGAAACAGCTTAATTTTTTTAGTCTTTAATATTTAAATGTGAGTTCAAATTTGTGATTTCAAATCCCCTGAGATTGTAATTTCTAGGTTGAATCCTGTCATCCTATTTTCGAAAGCTTTTATTGATTTTAGTCCTTACACTACCTATTCTACTTTCTCCTTTTCTTCATTTCTGAAAGCAGTAAAAACAATTGGTTAACAGTTTTAATCATTTTTCTCTCCAAATCCTATAATTAATTTTGAAAATGATATGTTTAATAAGCTTAATATCTTCTACATTTGAAGTGCATTACCAATACTTCCTTCATCTATTCCCTCACTTCTGTATTCCTTTCTTTTGGGGCCTTTCTGAAATATTATTCTTCATTAACCAAAAGAGAAAAAGTAATAAATCATTTCATTAAGATAGCATATTGTAATATATGCAAAACAGGTAATACAGAAAAATAAAATATTTACTTGTTAACTACAAAAAGTGAATGTCCACACATTTTAGCATTAGTCCCTAACTGGTCTGTTAATTTTCTAACTGCCTTCCCAGGTACCCTCCAGCCCGATCACCAGCGCCCCCCTCCAGCGACGCCTGAGTGTCAGTGCCAGTGGAGTTGGTGATTATGGTCTGATGAGTTGCGTACTTCCAGATGAGCTTTTGGTGGAGATACTTTCAGAGAGGATGCAGGTAATGGCAGCCGGAAGGAGAAACCAAGGGGAGCTCTAGGCACAATAGCTCATAGAAATATGTGTAAATTACCAAGTGAACTTTTCCAGTTTCTACAGACATATGGATGCAGATTTATTTATTTATTATAAAAATATTTCCTATTTCATTGCTTTGCTTTACTTAAAGGATAATTGAATGTCTATGGAGATTCTCAATCATCCAGGTCAAAGTTGTCCCAAAGCTACTTTTTCAAGAGGCAACTGGACTTTCTGGTGTTTCTTTGAAGATGTTTTGCTTCTCATCCAAGAAGCTTCTTCAGCTCTGACTGGATGGTGGGGAATGGAAGAATTTATACTCCTTGCAGACAGCTGGTCATTTTCACTCTTTTAACAAGTACTTAAGGCCACCTGGATGTTTATCTGTATCATCAGGGTCACCTGAATGGTGCAAATGGGTGTGGGGCCTCCTTGGAACTTCTGAAATGATTGTATTGCAGACCGGAGATAGATGATGCCGTATCCCTCCCCCTCTGTTGAGAGAGGGCTGTTCAATTTTGACATAGATGTCTTCTTTGACCTCTCTTTCAAACCAGTGGTCCGCTCTGTCCAAAATGTGGACTTTGCTGTCTTCAAAAGAATGGCCTTTGCCTTTTAAATGCAGATGGACTGCAGAAACTAGTCCTGTTGGCTTTGTTCTCCTGTGCACGTGGCTCACTTGCATTGTGCTGCAGGAAATTTTCCTCTAATTCTAGGTTCAATTTCTCTTTGTCAATTTTCCACTTCCCCATCTAGTTCTGCCTTCAGGTGCTTTGGAGAATAAGTCAGCCCCTCTTCTCTATGACAGCCCCTCAAGTATTGAAAGATTGCAAAAGCCAGAGGTCATGAGACTCTCAGGAAGAACAACAATAGTGTACACAGCAGATTGCAAGGAGAAAGCCACTATCTTCCAAAAAGAACACTGCTGTTCATCTATATTTTGTGAAGGGTAATGTGGATAAGCTAGAGAGCTATTGAAATAATGTTCTGTGGACAGATGAAACCAAAATAGATCTTTTTTGACTTAATGAATGAAAAACATGTTTTGATAGAAGAGAAATGCTGCCTCTGAACTAGGATAGCTTCCCATCTTTGATGAAACCAAGATGGATTCTGGATTGTATGGCAAATTCTACAGGAAAATGTCAGGATATCTGTCTATGAACTGAAACTCAAAAGAAAGTGAATCACACAATGAGACAACAATTCAAAACATAAAAGCTGTATGGAAGTTATGTTTTGGAATGGTCAAGTCAAAGTCCTGAGCTTAATCCTATAGAAACATGGAAGGACCTGAAATGGGTAGTTTGTGCGAGGAAGTCCACCAAAATCCCCAAGTTGAAGCTATTCTGTCAGGAGGGATGAGCTAACATTCCTCCATGCTGATGTGCAAGACTGATTAACAATTATTGGAAATGCTTAACTGCAGTTATTTCTGCCCAGAGGGATCACACAAGTTACTGAAAGTAACGGTTCATAAATATGTAGCTTTGGATCAATGCATAAATGAACATGTAATTTTACAGACTTTACTGAGGTGAAGAAGGAAAAACTTAAGAGGAACAGCGGTGTGCATTGGGTATGTTTCCCCTGGAGAAGTCTTCCAAGAGATAGATAGCAGTCTTCAGATATACAGAGGGCAGCCACATGAAGACAGAGCAGAATTGTTCCACTAGATCAGGGGTGGGCAATTAATTTCTGTCGGGGGCCACATGGAAAATCAGATCTGCATTCGAGGGCCGAACCAATTTTATAAAAGGCCATTATAAAGGGCCCATTATAAAATGCACTGATGTACTAATACTGAATCTAAAACTTGATCGAATTCCTCACTTTCTGCTGAGCCCACATAAATGATTTTCCATTCCAAATCTACATTGGAGAAAAAAGACTTTTAAATAAAACGTTCAAAATTTTGGTCTTCCAAGCTCTCCCCACTCCCAACAGTAACAAAACCCCTTCCAAACCACAATCTCTTTGAACTTGAAAACAAAAAAACCCTAATACTTAGCTTCGATCAAATCAAGCTCTTACAACCAAATGCTGAAGTCAGTGGCACTTACTGAAAATTAGTTGGGTGGGGAGGGTAATTGAAGTTTCAATTTCGAATTACAGCAAGCAATTCTCCAACACCATTTCCTCCGCTCGAGGGGGAAGAGAGAAGGCAAGGAAAGGAGCTCTTTGCCCGCCAGTTAAGTCTCAGTTTGCAAGGCTTGAACTAGCTCGGTGATTTTATTTCGCTACCGAGGTTAGCGAAAACTGGAATTGCTCCCGAGTTGGCAAGGTCCGATCACTGAAACCGAGGTTAGCGAAAACTGGAATTGCTCCCGAGTTGGCAAGGTCCGATCACTGAAGCGCTCTTCCAAAAGAGCAGCTTCCGGAAGCAAAGTAACACTGCGGCTGCTCCTGCTACTACTTTCCACGCTTTCCAATCGCGAGTCCCAGGAGAGAACAAACAGCAAACCGCGCTCAGGGGCATCCAAGCCCACCTAAAGCTAGGCCGCTGCTGGTGGAGCCTTGCCCTGCCTTGGTGCCCCGTTTCCCGGCTCGGCGGTCCTGCTCGGGCGGCACTTTAAAAGCCCTCCTCCTCACGTACACGCCCGATGAGCCGCTCACCACGACGGCGGCAACATGGCTGCTCCCAGCACCCGAGCAACTTCCCAGCAACTTGCGGCTTCCTTTTTCCTCGCGGGTGCTTGCGCCTGGCCCCAAGCCGCGTGGCAGAGGGGAAACCCGGAGCGCCGCCGGGTCACCTCCTCCAAGCAGCCTGCCCGCCCGCTGGGCGGAACCCTTCCCGCTCCTTGGTGGGAAGACGCTCCTGCCTGCCGAGGCCTTTGCAAAGTTTAAGCCTGGAAGCCCCAGAAAAAAAAGGGGACTCACCTTCGGAGAGGTCCTCTATGCACTCGAAGGTGATTTCGAACTGGAAGGGGTTGTAGAAAGGCGAAGGGTTGTCCAGCACCACAACGTTGTTCACCTGAACCTTTGCCATATTGGGCGGGAGGGGAGGGGTGGGGGAAGGAAGCGTGGGGAGAGGACCCACAAACAATAGTCGGACCGTGTTCCTCCTGGCGCCCGGGAAAGTGCCTCGTGCGGGAGATGCACGCCAGCCAGGGATGGAGAGGCGAGTTAGGAAACTTCACCGCTGGCTCTCCCGTCTGCTGCTCCCGCTGCCTTCGGCGAAAGCATCGGCCGGGCGGGCGCTGCCGTTGTGTGCCTCTCTTCTTTTCTTTCCTGCCCCGAGAGCGCTCTGTGCTGTTTTGCAGCTTTGGGGGCCACGCGGCGCAGGGCAATATGCCACGCCCAGCGATTTTTTTCCAGAGGCGTGCCGGATTAGACAGACCAATGGGCCGGATGTGGCCCGCGGGCCGTAGTTTGCCCACCCCTGCACTAGATTAAAGAAGAAACAATGGATGTAAATCACAAGGAAGCAGATATGGGTTGATGATCAGGAAAATGTCTCTAATAGGAGCTGTTCCATAATGAAACAACGTACCTCAAGAGAGGTGATGTATTTGCTTTACCTTGGAGTGCTTAAGCAGAGGCTGGAAGGAATTTGTTTGGGGATGGGCTATGGTGGATTTCTACAATGAGTACTGTAGAAGGTTGGACACGATTACCTCTAAGATCCCTTCCAATCTTTACATTCTATGACAAATCAGAATTCAAATAAAGCAATACGAGCAATATGTCACCTGAACTAGGAGATGAGTGGCAAGTAAATGTGATGTAACAGATGTAACAGATTAACAGAGATGAAAGGGACCTTGTAGGTCATCTAGTCCAACCCCCCTCCCAAGTAGGAGACCCTACATCATTTCTGACAGATGGCAGTCCAGTCTCTTCTTGAAAGCTTCCATTGATGAAGCTCCCACAACTTCTAAAGGCAACTTCTGTTTCATTGGTTGATTGTTCTAATCTCATGTTTTAGACTCATTTGTTTAATTGGGTTCTCTTTGCCTAGTTTTAGGACTTGTGTGGAGAACTGATCATGTTTTAGGTCATATTTACATGAAATATTGAAAATTCAAAGGGGTTCACAAACTTTTAAGCACCATGGGAATGGAGTAGAGTAGAGTAGAATTTTTAATTGGCCAATTTTGATTGGACACACAAGGAATTTGTCTCTGGTGCATAAGGTCCCAGTGTACAACAAGTAAATAAATCACGATCATAATCATAAAAAACAATCATAAATCATAAGATATAAACTAAGTCAGTGGTTCCCAAAGTGGGTGGTACCGCCTCCTGGGGGCGGTGGGATGCCTTAGGGGGGCGCTAAGAGGCAAGGGGGCTGGCGGGGGCGCTAAGAGGCAGCAGGGGGGTGTTCAAGGCGCCAGCCCCGCAGGGTCACCCCATTGACTGTTTCATTGCTCCGTAGCTGGCACTTCGAATGTGGAACCCGCGTGCAGCAAGCCTTGCCAAGTCTGTCTACCAACTTATCTACCTCCCTACTTATCTACCAATCCATCTACCTACCTCCCTACCTCCCTACTTATCTACCAATCTATCTACCTACCTATCTACCTACCTACTTATCTATCTACCTACCTACCTACCTACCTACCTACCTGTCTCTCTCTGTCTCTGTCTCTCTCTATCCATCGATCCATCCATGTTCAAAACACCATGGGAAAGTAGAGCAAAGCGGAGGGAGGGAGGGAGGGAGGGGGAGAGGGAGGGGGAGAGGGAGGGGGAGAGGGAGAGGGAGGCTGTCAAAACTCCAAAAACAGATCAAGTAACTCTGGGGAGGCCAGTCATAAATTAGAAGACTTGCTAAACAACCGGCCATTAAGTGAGGACCACTTGTATTTGGTTTGCCAGTCACCTGGCCACGCCCACCCCGTCACATGACCAAGCCACGCCCACCCAGTCACGTGACCAAGCCATGCCCACCCAGTCACGTGACCAGCAAGCCACACCCTCAAAATAGGCCACACCCACATGAATTTGAATCCCACCCCTGGGTGGGGGGCACCAAGGATG